TAGTTAGAAGACCAGACTTAATGGTCTGACTAAGACTGGAGGCACCCCAGAGAGCATGGCCCCTGGACTCTCTATCAGCCCAGAACTAAAACAATTTCTGAGGCCAACTCTTCAGACAGGGCTTGGACTGGACTGTAGGCTATAAAGTGATACTCGTGAAGAATGTGCCTCTTAGCCAAGTAGATACAAGAGACCAAAGGGGCAGCTTCTGTCCAGAGGCGAGATGGGAGGGCAGAGAGAGTTAGGAGCTGGTTGAATGTTCATGGGGAATCAGGGGCAGAGGGGAGGAGTGTGCTGTTGCAAAATAGGGTGAGTGGTTGGGGTCTCATAACAATGTGCGTTAAAAAAAAAAAATTTCTGTATGGGAGACTAACTTGAAATGTGAACTTCATTTAATTACAACAATAAAAAAAATAAAAGTGGTCAGGGCATTAAAATGTAGTTTTTATTCTTTTCTGACCAAGAATTCAGATTATTTGTCCAAAAAGGCTACAACAGAGTGAATTGTTTTAAGATTAATGATAATACACCAAATAGTGTAAGACTCAAATGTTATTTTTTAAGATTTAAAATGATTTTCTTTTCTTTTGGAACCCTGGTGGCACAGTAGTTAAGAGCTATAGCAATCTACGACTTCTAACCAAAAGGTTTGCATTCGAATCCACCAGCTGCTCCTTGGAAATTGACAAGGATATTACTAGAAACCTCTGAAATTACAGTGGTATTTTTTAAGACTCAAGGACATTTAGTAAGTTGATAACGTTCTTGTTTTCATACATGTATACCTGTACGTCTTCCAAAAACTCAGGATTGAAAATAATTTCGGGCTTTATTTTTCTAGTATACAGACAGAAAAATACCTGTGTTATCAAGTACAGCTTATTCCTTATTATGTGTGTGAAAACTCATCCATAATATTGCATGGAGTTGATTGTTTATTTTCCTTTCATTGTGTAAATATACCATAATATACACATTCTATAGGGGTCCCTGGTGGCGCAAGGGTTGATCACTCGGCTGCTAACTGAAAGGTCGGCAGTTCGAATCCACCAGCCACTCTGAAAACCCTGTGGGCAATTCTACTCTGTCTTATAGGGTCACTACGAGTCGAAATAGACTTGGCAGCAACGGATTTGAGTTATATATTATCTCAGCCTCTCCATGAATCTTCATCCACAAAAAACAAACAAAAAACATATACTAGAGCTTTGGTTGAAATTGTGTTAAATCTATCAGTTTATCTGGGAAGATTGAAATCTTTTTATTATTAAATCTTCCAATACATAAACGTGGTATTTCTTCCAATCATTTAGGTCTGCTTTAGTTTCTAGAAGCCTTGGTGGCAGCCGTGGTTAAGAGTTTGTCTGCTAACCAAAGGTCAGCAGTTCAAATCCACCAGCTGCTCCCTGGAAACCCTATGAACAGTTCTACTCTGTCCTGTAGGGTCACTGTGAGTCGGAATTGAGTCCACGGCAACGGGTTTGGTTTGGTTTTAGCTTCTAGTGTTGTGTGGTGTTTAGTGAGGAAGTCTTGCACCATTTTTGTAGATTTATGCCTAGGTGTCTGTTGTTTATGGATGATATTATCATTAGTATTGGTATTTTAATTTTATTGCTGGTATGAAGAAATACAATTGATGATTTTGTACATTGACTTTTTGTTCATTTCATTGCCTAAGGCATCCAATAGTGTTAAATGGAAACGATGATAACAAAAGTTTTTATATAATTTATATTTAAAGAGGAAGTTTTCAATATTTAACTATGGTTAAATTTTTAGGTGTATTTAAGGTAGTTATGCTTTGTCAAATTAAGGTTTTTCCTCTTTATTCCTAGTTGGCAAAGACTTTTTTTTAAAATCAATAACGACTGTTGACTTTTGTCAAACAATTTTTATACCTCATTAGGATTTAGTCTAAACCACTGATATGAACATCCCATGATGTTGAGTTCATTCTGCTTCTTACCAGGAAACACTAAAATGAACCAAAAAGTAAGAAAAGAGAGAGAGAATAAAATTCTGGTGATAGTAATACTAGGAACAGAGTCAGCCACAAATGCATATAAATGAGGTATGCAGTTTAAACATCTGTTTTCAGAAATCATACAATGTCCAGATTCCATTTTAAAAAGAAGAAGAAGAAGGATGGAAGACATGGTCATGACCCAGAGTACTTCACCAGAATACGGACACAAGGGGAACAGGAGAGGCAGAGAGCCCTGCAGACAGCTAGCTCCAACAGGAGACTAGTGGAGTGGTGTAGGGGAGGGACTGGCACAACTGCATTTTCAGTGGCCAGCTGTCTTCACTTCCCTGATACTCAGCACCCCTCCCCTCCAATCTGTCGTTAAGCAAATGCCAGGTCAGGATAAGTTTGCTTCAGTTCAAAAACAAGTCATAAACAGAAAGGTTTAAATGTAAGACGGTAGATACTATCAGAAAAAAGAAACGAAATTGAAAAGGGAAACATGTAACACAATGGTATTATACAAAAGTTAGAAACAGTGTAACTCAAAAACAAAAAGTTACCTCCAGGTAATATAAGAGAAATTTAGCTGTATTCTTCTTTATAAAAGAATATGAACTATTTAAAGAAATTTAATATTATGAAAAATTAATTATGAAGAAATGTAACGTTTTGAAAAAAAACGATGTCAAGAGACGATACGAGAAAGAAGGCACAAAAATAACAGTGAGCTGACAAAGCTCCTGGAAAAATAGGAAAAGTAGAACCATTGCTGAAAGGAAACAACATCATTGTTAGGTGCCTTTGGGTCGGTTCCACTCATAGAGACCCTACGTACAATAGAATGAAACACTGCTCAGTCCCACACCGTCCTCAGAATTGTTGCTCTGTTTGAGCCCGTTGTTGCAGCCACTGTCAGTCCATCTCCTTGAGGGTCTTCCTCTTTTTCACTGACCATCTACTCTACCAAGCATGATGTCCTCCTCCAGGGACTGGTCCCTCCTGATAAAATGTCCAAAGCATGTGAGACATAGTCTCGCCCTCCTTGCTTCTAAGGAACTTTCTGGCTGTACTTCTTCCAAGAGAGATTTGTTAGTAGATTTATGCTTACATATTTGTTTTTGGGTCACATTATCGATAGTATTGGTATTTTAATTTCTTTATTGCTGATATTCTGAAAACATTAGAAGCATCAAAAAGCAGAAGAGGTAGTGCAGAAAAAAGATGACTGGTATGAAGAAATAAAACAAAAAGTGAAGTAAAGGCAACTAAAAAAGACAGCAATAGAAATTGAAGAGTGGCAACTGAAAGCTAACTAACAGACTGCTATTATTCTTAGAATAATTCTCTCCTGGGAAAGTAATTTCCTTACAATGGGGAAAATTATCAGGCTAGCTTTTTAATTCTGTCCTTCAGTTTTCAGTGTCAAAAGGCATCTGAATGCTATATTCCGAATTTGGAGGGGAAAAATTTGTGATGCAAACATTGTATAACCATCTAAGCAGGGCGGTGAGTTACAGAATTATAAGGAGCACCTTTGTAGAGAAGGCAAGGTGAGCTTTGCTTTCGGAGGCACTATGCACATGTCATTTCAGATGGATAAAGCCCCCACAGGTTACATGACAGGGACTTTTGTCTTTATGGCAGGCAACAGAGAATCTCATATATATATGTACTCGCAAGAAATACAGGCACCTGTTCATGAACCTTTCTTGCAAAATTATCTTAAAGTCAATCAGTTGTCTTAAATGTCAGTCAAGACCTAAATCAAGCTGAATGATTTAGGAATGGACAAATAATATATATTAAATAATATTATAATGATATATTAAAAGGAGGATGGGATTGAGGTTGAGGATTGAGTGTGTGGAATAAACAGTACTCTTCACCTTATAAGTAGTATGTACTGCTTGAATTTTTTTATAATAAGCTTATTTTATAATCAGTCTAATTTTTAAAAGTCACTTTGTTTAGTTCTTATTTGAGTTAATACTAAATACAAATCTTTTCAAACGAAGAGTAGTATTTTTTCCTTTCAACATCATCAAATATTGTCCTAAAAAATTTATATTTGTGTATTATTTACAATTGAAAAGCGTACTTTTGCATGTAACATCTTAAGTAATAACGACTACTTAATTGCACTGGGGAACCCTAGTGGCACAGTGGTTAAGAACTTGGCTGCTAATTAAAAGGTAGGCAGTTTGAATACACCAGCCAGCCACTCATTGGAAATCCTGTGGGACAGTTCTACTCTGTCCGGTAGGGTCACTATGAGTCAGAATCCACTCAGTGGCAATGGGTTTGGTTTGGTTTTAATTGCATTGGGGTGTTATCTGTTTTGAATAATATGCCCCAGGACATCTAGCTATAAAATGTGGACCCGGGACTCATTTGTCATACAGTTCAATAAAAAAAAATTTAGTGAATTAAAAGTTAATATATTTTGCAGAATTTATGATTTGGGAAGTTTTGTCTAAAATCAAAGAATTAGATAAAAGACTAAAATGAGATCTTTGAAGTCCTATAATATCTGGGTGTAGGTGGGGGTAGGCATCTGTATATAAAATTTAGCTTTAAATTCAGCTCCTGAACAAGTTCTATTTTCTGTGAACCTTTTGGTTTCGTTAGCTTTTACTACATTTTATACTTCTTTTCAATTGCAGTCTCATTTTTTAAAAAGTGAAATAATTTGAATATACTTAGGTTTGTTGACCAACTGTCCATCTTGGAAATAAAAACTAAACCCTCTTTGAATATGAACTCTAAATAGTCTTGAATCTCTCTCTTGGCTTTGAATTCAAGAAAAACAAAGTCTAGATTCAGTTGGAGAATCGTTTTACGATTCTCTAAGATTTTTTCATGTTGAGATGCAGATCCTTCAGATACAAATTCCTGGCAAAGGCGGCATGGAAGATTAGGAAACTCGAATTTGCTAGGCAGGCTAGTGGGAGGGTCCTTTTGTGATGAAATGTTGCATAAATAATGCTGATGGGGGTCTAAATTCACTGTTGCCATGGAGACCTTTGTGCCTGGCTGAACTCTATTCTTTTCTCTCTTAAGAACGCAACCGCTAGGCTAGTGGTAACTCCGATGCCTCTTGCTTTGCTTTCTCTTAAACTGTTTGCGAGGAAAGCAGAAATTAAACTGATAATTCAGTGTCTTGGCTTTTTCTAGATTGAGCCTTCTCTCCCTTCGTGATTTTTGAGCGCATCTGTGGTTCTTTTTAGCCGCGGTGCTGGGAGGGAGGAGCAGGTGGGTAGAGCGATTGGAACTGCTTGCTCGGAGGGAGGGAAAAGTAACGCTTCATCTTTGTGACTAGTCGACTTGTTTGCCTAGAACACAGTTTTGAAGTATTTCAGGACCATTTATTGGCAAACGGTACAGCAAAGGTAAAAGAAACAAGTGAAAATGAAACGTATTTATTTATTTTAAATGCTTTTGTTGTTAATGTTGTTTTTGTGATGCTGTTAGCTAAAGTTTTAAAACTGCCGGTTGAGTTCTGTGTAGCAAACTAGGTAAGTGTTTATTTCTGGTCTCACAGTTGTCGTGTTACTCTGTTGAGTGAATTAAATATTGAAAGTGTAAGACAACGTACGGAACAGAAACCAGTTGTAAGGATCAAGAATGGCCGGTTTTATCGACTCACCATTGTAACTGCTTAATTATTGTTTTTAGTAAAATTTGGTGTGCCTTAGATTCACACTTTAGATTTTTGCCAAAGTTATAATTATTCGTGGTTAAGCAGCCATTTATAATGCAGTGAAAAGAGTTGATTTGGAAATTGTGTTTTGTTTTTTTTTAAAAAAAAATTCTTCCATGTATAATTAAATTAGTAACTCTGCCCAGAAAGAAATTACTCAGAAAATGTGAAGGCATAAAAATCACCCAGCCAGTGTCTGTATGTAAAGTAACTGTGGAGATTCAATATATTGGACAGTTAAGTTGTTGCATTCCATTCTCTTTCTTAGAGAAATTATTGGGTCCTCAATGATTAGCTTGATATTAGAACTAGAATACAGTAATTACATGTTTGCATCATTCTAAATGGTGCAGGTGTAAATGGGATGCAAACAGCCTGTAATTATAGGAAACCTTTACCATCCAAGTGTTTCCAGAGTGCTGTTATTTGAGTGTCATTGACCAAAATTGACGATGACTTCATAGATTTCACTTGTGCTGCCACTGTAGTTCAGAAAATATTTGTGATGTTCAACAGATGAGAGAAACTGATTGGTTTCAGAAAGCTGGTGATTCAACAGAACAACAGTCTCTCTATGTGAATTGTATATTGGATTGTTATATATTTGTAAGGTAGGTGTCTATTGTAGAGCTGTAAGTAAAGTAAAATGGAAAGCCTCAGAAAGTAGTTAGGTTTTTATCTATAATGTTAGAGTGTTTTCAAATGGATAATAATAGCAACAGAGAATGATTTTCTAGCTATTGATGACAATCACAAGATACAATTTCTGCAGGATGATGACTATTTGAAATTTGAATGACTTTGTAACTCAGATACTAAGTGCAAATCATGACCAAGTTGATTTACAGAAATGGCTTATTTTTATTAAAAGCATAGCTTCTGGTGTTTCAATATTTTAATTACTTAGCCATGGATAGATTTCATTTTAAAGAAGCTAACAAAGGAAAGCTTGCATATACAATGGGGCACATCTTACTAAGTTAGACGTTAAATGGGTGTGTTAATCATATTAAGGCTGAGAAATCCTTTTATTTTCAAGGAAGCAATTAAATGTCTAGTGGTATAGATTGAGAATAATGATTTCAGAGAAATTTGACATTTGGAAGTGTTTTCCATATGGCCTGTTATTGAATAGCACTGCCTTAAATATGAGGGTAAATGACTGTGAAGCTTTACTTTAGGAATATAGTGTCCAGACCCTGACACTTTCTGAGTTTAAGTGATACGAACCCTTGAAACCATCGGACACTCCATATGCATGTGATCTAAATAAAGATCTTTTTTTTTTAAATGAAAGTTAACCAGATGGTGCCATTGCCCAGTACCCCACATCTCATAACATAAATGTATACTATAGGAAGGAAAAAGAGAACTCTTTTTTTAAGTTTTATTTTTTATTCAAGGATTTAGTATCCTGTGGATACGTCTGAAGACACATTAGATAGGTTCTTCAAATGGCATGCTAAAGCATAAACAGAATCAACCCAAGTGTGATTAAAACAACAACAGTACATTCTGAGACTTTCCAAATGCTAAGTTTCACAACATTTTATGGACTATTTTACTCATAAGTTTTACCCACATAATTAAGAAAAAAATAATTTTAATTTAATAGTTGCCCAAACAGTTCCAGGTCTGGTCCAAGCCTGCTGATTATATTTTCACAATGGAAAATGATAGCTAATAAGTCTGACTAAAAGTTCCACTTGGAGTGATTTAGGAAGAAAGACTAGCCTGTAGATTGCTACTTTCTACAAGTAGTGTATTAACATGTGAATTCTGATAACTGAAACAGAGTTCTGTTTTATAGCTCTTTTATTAATCATGTATTTTCAATACTTCATGATTAACATCTTTGATGAGCCCTCCAAAGTACATGCTAGACATGATCTGAGGTTCTGTGTTTCAAAATGAAGAGGGGCATTGCCTCATGTCCAAGAACTCAGAATCAGGTGGAGATAGATACAGGTGTGAGAACTGCTAGCTGTGATGAAGTAAATAGCTGCTCCGATGGAAGCGTGGCCAAGGGGAGCCGAAAAGGGGGCCCGAGTTTATACAGTGAAGTGTTGGTTATAGTCAATCCTCCCAACTTGAGACAAGGAAAGGTTGTGACTTGCACAGCACAACGGTCAAGAAGTTATGCCTTAGGTCCTAATGCTGCCGTAACAGAAACATCATAGATGGTGACTTTAAAGAACGGAGATTTATTTTCTCATATCGCAGGAGGCTAGAAGTTGGAATTCTGGGTACAGCTCTAAAGGAAGGTCCTTCCTGGTCTATTTCACCTTCTAGTAGCTTCTGGGTGGTGCAGTAGTTAAGAACTCGGCTGCTAACCAAAAGGCTGGCAGTTCGAAGCCACCAGCAGCTCCTTGGAAACCCTATGGGGCAGTTCTACTCTGTCCTGTAGGGTCGCTGTGAGTCGGAATTGACTAGACGGCAATAGGTTAGTAGCTGCTGGCAATCCTTGGAGTTCCTGGGCTTATAGATGCATCTGTCTCTTTCCTGTTCCCCCCGTGTGTGTGTCTGTGTCTATTCTTCTCTGTTCATCATTCAGAAGTGATTAGATTTAGGACCCAATTTATTCTAGTAAGACCCATTAACATAACAAAAGAAAAACCTGTTTCCAAACAGGGTCATTTTTACAGGTACAGGGGTTGAGAGTTCAACACATACTTTGCGAGGACATAATTCAGTCCCTAACAAATGACCATAAAGATTGTTGCCAAAAAATAGCCAGTGAAATCTTATGCAAATATTAAGTGCAATGCTATTACTACACTAATCAAAGTCAAAGTCCTTCCAGTGGCTGCCAAGGCATTCCATGGTGTACCAACTGCCACGCCCTGCCTCTCTCACATCTCCTAGGATTCTTCCCTCTAGCTCACTTTGCTCCAGTGACATTTACTCCTTGCTTGTCTTAGATCATGCTTCTAGCTCAGGGTCTTTGCCTTTGCTATTTCTTTTGGCTTCAAACACTCCGTCTTCTTCCCCCACCGCTGTGCCCGAATGCATAGGACTTGCTTCCTCACCTCCTTCATGTCTTGGCTCGTATGCCACCTTGTCAGTGAGGCTGTCTTTGATGACCCTACTTATCTACACACCCCATTTTCTATTCCTGCATTATTTTTCTCCACTGCCTTTACTGCAGTAAGCGTGGGCTATGTAATCTACTTGTTCGTTTTGGTGACTGTTTTCTCCACTAGATGCAAAGTCCGCAAGGGCAGGGATTTTTGTCTAAGTAGATTTTTGATGCATTCCCAGCACCTAGACCCATGCACAAATGGTTGAGCACTCACCTATTAGCCTAAAGGTTGACGGTTCGAACCCACCCAGACGTGCCTCAGAAGACAGGCCTGGAGATCTGCTCCCGAAAGGTCACAGCCTTGAAATCGCTACGGAGCTGTTCTGTCCTGCACACATGGGGTCGCCATGAGTAGGAATTGACTTCATGACAGCTAACGACAACAACAGACTCATGCCTGGCATATTTGTTCGAAGAAAAAATGAGGATCTGAATAGAGATTTCTTGACACCAAAAATACAATGTTTTACTATTTTTTAGATAATTTTTTAAAACAAAATAGTGACTATTTCAAGTTATCACTTGAGATCCGTTATTCTTTCTAAAATGGAAGCGAAAGTGGTATGATTACAGGTAACCGATGCATACATAATGTCATAGGTACCAAGGTTCTTAGCCAGGTCTCCTGTATCATAGCAGAATAGAAGCCTTCTGTGATGTGGTATATGGCATCAGATGGACCCTGCATTAGTTTTCAAAGGCTGACATAACAAAATGCCACAAACTGGGTGGATTTAAAGAACATAAATGTATTGCCTCACAATTCTGGAAGCTAGTCCAAATTCTGGTTATCTGCAGGGCGTGTTCCAAAGACTGTAGGGGAAGATTGTTTTCTTATTGCTTAGCCTCTCAAGCTTGTAGATACATCATCTCCTGACCCTCATCCCTCTGCCTGTCTCTGTCTCTTCTCCTCTTTTAGAAGGACACCTGTGGTGTTAGGACCCACCCTACTGTACTTTGACCTCATGTTAATTGATAAAATCTTCCAAAGACTCTGTTTCCAAACAAGGTCAGGTTCAATAGTACTGGGTGGGGATTTGGACCTCAGCATACCTCTCTGGGGGACACAGATCACTATATAATGACGTTTAGTGAGAAGACCCATAACCTTGTCCTTCTTTTTTTTTTTTTTTAATCACCTTCTAATGATGAAATGCCCTCGCTTCATAGCTATCTGTTTTTCCACCATAAAAGATGTGGCTGTTACTGTTAACACGGCAGCTCTCCCTACAGTTCTTCAATTTATCTGTATTTTCTCCAAAGTGTTTTTTAAAGACCACACAAAGATGTATATGCAATGTCTATTAAACCCATGTATTTCTTCATGTTTCTAACCACATGGACACAAGACGACTGATTTAATGGTATCCATTACTAATGTGATGATCTTCAGTCAGCAGCTATGTATAAGTTCTACTAAAAAAAAAAATCATTTTTAGTATCCTAAAAGTTATAGATCAATAGTGATCACATCCATGGCTGCATCTCAGATAATTTGACCTGGTGGCACAATGGTTATGTGCTTGGCTGCTTACTGAAAGGTCTGCGGTTTGAACCCACCCAGCAGCTCCATGGGAGAAAAGACCTAGTGATCTG